CTATCACTACTATTTTAAAAGACATTTTTTACTTTTTTTTGCATAATTTAAAACTGCTGATAATCCTTTGCATTGTGTTAAAATTTCATGATGGATAGACTGATTGAAATGGTCCAAAATCACATATATACGTCCATTGCAAGCTACAAATGTTTTTTTTTTTCCTTTTCGTGTAAAGTTTTGGACATATGAGGCTTTGTTCCAACAGCAACGTTGTGCTTGTTGTATTCAGACTCTGAAAGTATTGCACTACTATTATTTCAATGTTCAATTTTGGTTGGAAACAAAATTGTTAAAATATTGATACACCCAACAGAAAATTGTCCTATCAGGATCTCTTTTCTCTTTGGTCTCTGAGTAGACTTTCCTATTAGTTAGGACTTCAGGAGCTAGACTGAGGTCCTTGCACATTACATTTACGGAGAGCATTTTTAGGAAGTGACAGGAATCAACCAATCACGTTTTGATTTCCAGTGGGTGGGACCAGTTTCTTAGGAAAAAAATGTCATCAATCTGTAGTCTGACCAGATTTCAGTTAGTTGTTAGGAAAACAGCTCTATGACATGGTTCTTTATATAAAGATTCACCATAGAATTGCAATATATAGGGTACAATATGTGTTAATATATGTTGTAAGTTTCAAATAAAACAAATTATGGTCATGTGCACCAGCGTTAGCTTAGTGCTAACATATTTTTAGAAATTCTATAGGTGAATTAGTAGAAATTAGTCTTATTGTAAAGATGTTTTTTATTTACTTATTTTTTTCACTTATGTTCTCACATTTGTGGCCTGGCCTGAAGGCCTAGCTCTGATGGTCATGGTTCGCCACTGCAAAATAATCAAATTGAATCATGGTGAAATCATGCATTGAATTGTTTAAATAGAATTATAACTGGATTGAATCATTGTGAGGTCAAAGATTTACCCCTCTAATGTAAATGCATGTGTTTGTACATTTTGGTAGTATCTTCACAGATCACGTATGTGTGTGTATGTGTGAGTCGGCTAAAGGTTAGCGTAACACTTTCCTGCTTTGCTATGCTGCTGCCTTTAATTCTCCACGTAAATAAATGATGAGCTCATTTAAACACACACACTCGTCCCCAGCCCCAAGGTCACCTAATCATATTATTTATGAACTGATGCGCAGCATTATGGTACTTAGCCCATGTTAACAGATGCTGGTATCAAACCCTGATGCGAAGCATGGAAGATATATGGATGTGCTGTATGTTAATGTCGTCTGCAGTTTGTGATGCTGTAGCTATGGAGACCCACGCGGGCAGAGATGCAGCACTTAAGTGGACAGCCGCTTCTCCATTAAGTGGTCCTTACAAAATATATAACCACAAACAGTGTCAGTGAGGGGCCGTCTCTTGACCACTTAAGGACCCACAGCCATCCATAACATGCTTCTCTTCTGGGGCCTTTCAGGGTCTTCAGGAGTGTGTTTGTGTGCGTTTGTGTGGTCATGTATTAAATTCTTTGTGGGGACCAAATCTCCCCAGAATGGTTGACATTGTGAAGACATTTGGTTGGTCCCAATGAAGAGTAATGCTCTTTACACACACACACACACACAAAATGTAGATTTTAAAAAAGCAAAAAATTTGCTTTGGGATTCCAAATTTTGAAAAGTTTCATAATTAAATTGTTAAATCAAGTGTTTTGATGTGAAATCCTCCTTTCTAAGGAAACTTACAGGTTCAGTTTTTCATTACAGTGATAATATGAACCGGAAGTGTTTAATGCTTCTATTCTAGAAATAGAAATCTATTACATGAAATGGTCACAAATACATTGAATGATGCCCAAGACATTGTTTTACAGTAGTTTTGAGATGAGGTTTTGGCCTAAAAGGTGTTTTTGTTTCCCAATACAAATTTGGGCACCTGATCAGTTTACGTTTTGCTGATTTTCTAAGTGAATGCACATCCTCTACAAAGAACCCACTTCGTCACATTGTATGCACAATTACTGTTTATTATTATGTTTAAAAAAACATACAGTTATGGCATATATGGTGTGTCTTAAACTCGGCTAATAAATAGAAATTTCATAATAAGGTTTGTTCCCCAGAAAGAATGTGGTGACCGATTTTCATCTAGAAAATCAACAAAACATTGTTTGAGGTACATGCAAGGCATTATAAGTCTAGTTAGACTTACATATTTAAACTCAGAAGACTGGTTCTGGCTTGTTAAGTTTCTCAGTAATGCATCATTTCACATAAAACTGATCTCAACCACTAAATTACGAAGAAATTTTAAGAAATTGAGTTCCCCTCTCAGATTAGGATCTTTTATCTGTAGCACAGCAGCATTTAGCTACAAGCATATAGAGGTCAATGGAAGGACCCCACAAAGGCAGCAATACAAACTTGTGTGTTTGTGCACACACGAGACAAAGGCAAGTTCTTCTCCTTTAATACTATGTAATGTAAATGGTAGTCAGCACACCAGAGAGCTGCTCTTTACTTTCAGGTCAAAGGTCATAGCCATCTAGCACAGCACACTGATTTATGTTGACAGCAAGTAGTCACACACGTGCACACACACACACACACACACGCACACACACACACACACACACACACACGCATCTTCACATTCTCTGCGATGTTTATGCAAAGTCATTTAAGGCGAATTCAGGTGGTTGCAGCATGAACTGTATGCTCATAAATCAGCCTCATGCTGAAGTGTAATGTAATGTGATCAAAGCACATGCGAGTGCTGAAGCTAACTGAGGCCTGTGCGTACCTGACCAGGTGTTTGGTCAGTACAAGTGCAGGTGTGTTCAACAGATGATTTACAACATGCGCTCTTGTAGGATTGCACCAAGCACATTCCTGAGGCATTGCTTCAAGGCAGCGTCGAGACTTTCACACTCTGTCACACGTACTCACTCACACCTTTAATTCTGCTGCTTGATGTTTTTACTGGTGTTATAAGGAAGACAGGAAATGTGTTTGTGGACCGCCACCCAGTCGTACACACACACACACACACACACAGACTTTTGTTGTGTGTTTAATTCAAAACAAACTATTGACACAACCACACACCCAGTATTGCATTACTTCTTCTGTATTACCTAAATCTTTAATTGTAACCCTTACTCATGCCTATAACTAAATCTAACCAACACTGAAACGACAAAACCGAATCCTAGAAGTGAATCCTAAACATGCCCAAGGAGAAAGAAAAAATATTTATACACACACAGACACACACACACACACACACATATATATATATATATGTATTCACACACACAACAAACACACACACACACACACACACACACACACACACATATATATATGTATTCACACACACAACAAACACACACACACACACAAACATTCACCCTATCTGTTCAAAAGTATGTGGACACCCTTCCAAACAGGTGGATAAAATCAAGCATATAACCTTGCAATCTTTATAGAAAAACACTAGCAGCAGAATATGTAATACTGAAGAGCTTAGAGACTGTCATAGTTACTTCACCACAAGTCAGTTTGTGAAATTTCTGCCTCACTAGATCTGCCCCGTTCAACTCTAAATGCTATAATTGTGAAATAGAAGTGTCTAGGACAACAACAGCTTAACCACAGATCAGACCACACAAACTCACAGAGTGGGGACACTGAGTGCTGAAGCACGTAGAGCCTATCCTTTATTGCATCAGTCACCACACCAACTGCCTCTGGAAGCAACATCAGTAAAAGAACTGTGTGTCATCACACCTAACTGCCTCTGGAACCAATCTGAGCAAAAGAACTACCTGTCAGAGCTTCATGAAATGGGTTTCCATGGCTGAGCAGCTGCACACAAGCCTAAGATAAAAATGTGCAATGCCAAACAACAACTGGAGTGATGTAAAGCACACCATCACTGGACCCAGGAGTGAGGAATCATGCTTCACTATCTGGAAGTCTGATGATGGATGCCAGGAGAACGCTACCTCCAGGAATGCATAGTGCCAACAGTAAAGTTTGGTGGAGGAGGGATAATGGTCTGGGGCTGTTTTTCAGTGTTTGGGCTCAGCCCCTTAGCTCCAGTAAAGTGTAATGTTAACGTTACAGCCTACAAAGACATTTTAGACAATTATATACTTCAGTATATTCAGTTTGTGGCAACGGTTTGGGGAAGGGTCTTTCCTGTTCCAACAAAGTCCATGCAGACATGGTTTGATAAGTCTGGTATCTAGGATCTCCGATGGCCTGCACAGAGCCCTAAACCTCAACCCCATTGAACACCTTTGTGATAAACTGGGACATCAATTGTGAGCCAGGGCTTCTTGTCCAACATCAGTGCCTGACCTCTTTTCTTTTTCTTTACTTTTTTAATTTGATATACTAAAGAGAATTCCATTGATTCTCTTTGTATATTCAAATAATTAACATATAAACAAAGTCACTCAGTGTGGTTCGAGGTGAAATGGTCCATTCTAAAGAAACTTACCAAGGTAGAATTGTTCACAGTATTGGTGATAGGAACCAGGCATCCAAAGTGTTCAATGCCTCTAAAGGCTCCCTCACAGAAAGTTATTACATTATAAGTATATTTATAATAAAGAGGTATGTGTAGGGCATTGTAAGACAAAATAGCACCCCTCCCCCCCAAAAACAGTAAAACGTATTTTTCCAAATTACCACTATTTTACCATTATATATTTTTTACATTGTATAAATGCAAAAAACACATGTACGTTCAGTTGTTGTTTTGTAAAATAAAGTAAATGAAGTGTCTATATTTGGTTGTAGAACATTGCTACCCCAGGTTCCTATCAACAATATTGGAAAGAAAACTCAATAAGTTTCTTCTCAGTGCACCATTTCACATTAAACTGTTCTTAATGAATTTGTTCACATCTCAGCCACTGAATTAAGTAGAAATTTCGAAGAAATTCTACTTTGTTTCTTTAAACAAAACCCTGATTGTTCTTTATGCACTCATAACTTGAGCGTTATTTGTGCTTTTGTGCCATTACAGATGCCAGTCGAGCCTGGCACAAACTTTGCCGCCTGAAGAAGCACCTGTGGACCGACCGTACTGGAACAATGACGACCCGGACATGCCCTTGCCCTTTGACCTCTCTGACATCATCAGCCGTGTGGAGTCACTCCTCTGGAGGTGAGCTTGACTTTTACCACAGTAGAATTTAAGACTTATTAAACTAAAGAACAAGACTAATTGCTTGTATGGCTGTTTGGAGCAATGCCCAGTTATGTTACTGTTGCTTGGATTCTGAGGCATACACACACACACACACACACACACACACACACACACACACACACACACACACACTCACGCACACACACACAACCTAATCCCTAATGCTTATCAAACAGCTTCAGACCTTCAATAACCTGATGGGTTCATAACTCAAATGTTTGCAGTATGAGAGACATGCAGTGCTCCCATTGTATACTAAACACTAATTATAATTGGTTAAGTAGTATACACCCATCAGGCATAACATTATGAGCACCTCCTTGTTTCTACGCTCATTGTCCGCTTTATCAGCTCCACTTACTATATAGGTGCACTTTGTAGTTCTACAATTACAGACTGTAGTCCATCTGTTTCTCTGCATGCTTTGTTAGCCCCCTTTTACCCTGTTCTTCAGTGGTCAGGACCCACATGAACCCTCACAGAGTAGGTACTATTTGGGTGGTGGATCATTCTCAGCATTGCAGTAACACTGATGTAGTGGTGGTGTGTTAGTGTGTGTTGAGCTGGTCTGAGTGGATCAGACACAGCAGTGCTGCTGGAGTTTTTAAACCTCAGTGTCACTGCTGGACTGAGAATAGTCCACCAACCATAAATGTCCAGTCAGCAGCATCCTGTGACCACTGATGAAGGACTAGATGATGACCAACACAAACTGTGCAGCAGCAGATGAACTATCGTCTCTGACTTTACATCTACAAGGTGGACTGACAAGGTAGGAGTGTCTAATAGAGTGCACAATGAGTGGGCACAGTGTTTAAAAACTCCTGCAGCACTGCTGTGTCTGATCCACTCATACCAGCACAACACACACTAACACACCACCACCACATCAATGTTACTGCAGTGCTGAGAATGATCCACCACCCAAATAGTACCTGCTTTGTGAGGGTCCATGGGGGTCTTGACCACTGAAGAACAGAGTAAAAGGGGGCTAACAAAGTATGCAGAGAAACAGATGGACTACAGTCTGTAATTGTAGAACTACAAAGAGCACCTATATAGTAAGTGGAGCTGATAAAATGGACAATGAGCGTAGAAACAAGGAGGTGTTCATAATGTTACGCCTGAACGGTGTATAGTATGTAGTATATTTACAAGTGTCAGACTTGAGTATATTTTTAAAAATCCAACATACATACTTATAATCAAATTTTAAGGAATGGTGTGAACTCAAAACAGAAAGGGGAGGGGGCATCTCACAGCTGGAAAAAATGTTAATCTTAGCACATTTTGAGTTAGACACTAGCTAGCAAACTATCAAGTTGGAACTTATGTAAGGTTATGTAAGGTTAGTAAATAGAGCAGCACTCCTCTATGGGAACACTAATGACAACTAACCAACCAACCAACCAAATAAATAAATAAATCCTTTTAAAAGTTTTAAAAGTCTTTTGTTTAACCCTTTAAATCTCAGGCTTATTATGCTTAAAGCCTTATTATAAAGTAACTATCTGGACTGCAGTGCAAAGAAGTGATTCCTAAAGGACTCATATCCTACATGTCTCTTGTTTTTTTATTTTTCCCCTGAAGTGCCCTTATATCATTTATGTTTTTATTTACCAACAATGGTCAGAATTCATTTTGCATGACCATTATTCAACCTCTCTATATGCCTTAGAATTAAGCAGACTGTTTTTGTTACTGTGCCTTTAGGACTGATATATATGTAAATGACCTCTGTTGTCATTTGCTGTCCTGTATTGTGCCTCATTCAAAAAGCACTCAAAACTGAAACACTCCTTATAACTTAGCTTATATCGTATAACATAGCTTAGTTTCTATACATGGACTTTATGGACTGAGGAGGTAATGGTACATTTAAAAACATAATTTTTATCATATTAAGTTACAGTAGAAGTGTGAAAGTGTAGAAAGTTTTGGCCCGCCAGCAGCTTCTGGCCATTTTAGGGATTAATTGTGGTAGTAGCTCTATAGTAGTGCACCAAGGTGTCAGCTTAATATGACTATTTAAAAATATTCAAATATAACTATTTAAAGAAATAATCAAATGTTCATACCTTAGATATTTACAAGAGAAATGTATGATTTATGACATTAATTGAGACAGTAATAAGCTAAATATGTACAAAATCATTTTTTCATTGTTTTTCTTTAAAGATCTTTTTGATTTCTCATGAACTTCAGAGTTCGATTTATCATGAGTTTAATTTTTAAGTAAAAAAAACTCAAAAAATGCTGTCCCTTGTATTCATGTCACTAATGAAAAACAAAATCCATAGATTTAGATCCTTAGGCGGAGCCTTATTCTAGCCACACCCCAGCATTTTAGAGCAGGAACTGAGACTGCAGGAACTGAGACTGCATCCCTGTCCCAAATGTGTCCCAAAGTCTGAAAATCAGTGTGTAACATTAAGAACTGTCATTCGCGAAAAAAACATATTTTCTGCATTTAAGTAAACTTTTTTGTGTTTTAATGAAAAATGTTATGATATAGAACGACAGTAACAATGAGAGGTGAATGTGCCAAATGTGACCGAGTGTGTTTTGTTCTTTCTCAGGATGTAAGGATTTTGTCAGAGAATAAGAGAAGAGAGACAGAGAAAAAGAGCCCGAGGTACCCCATGAAGGAAACAGGTTGCCGGTGACATGAGAGCAGCGCTTACCTGGTCTATTTCTCCCTCACCTGAGGATGAACACTCTCACACACACGCACACACACTCTCACTCAGTCACACACACTCACACACTCACACACTCACCCACTCAACACCGGACTCCGCCACCGCATGGATGGATGGACGAATGGAAAGATGCAGACGCGCACCAAGGGTGAAACCTGGACGAGACTTTTATTTTTCTCAATCCTTTTTGTCACCTCTTTCAATGCCCTTCTGTAGTGTTGTAATGGAAATGCATATAAACATTTCAGCAGTAGCATCCAATAACTAGGCATCTAGCTGTGTGTCTTTTTTTGTTTTTTTCTAACGTTCCATGTAGCCTCTTTTTCCATGAGAAGCCTTGTCTAACATGCATCACATATACAATATACACAGTGCGCTTTAAAATGCTCTTCTTTTGCTAGTTGTTTGTTGTTCTTTTGCGAGAAAGTGTAGGATATAATCCTAGCAACCCGGATATGAGGTCATGGGGCGAGCCTTGTGGTATCATTAGTGTGCTGTAGTCTTTAGTCCTGCGTGTCAGTATTGTCTGTCAGTATTGTGTCGTATGTTTGCTTGTGTCTGGAAGTTTGCCCTAATATTGTGTGTATGTGTGTGTGTGTGTGTGTGTGTGTGTGTGTGTGTGTGGATGACAGGTGAGTTTGTTGAGAATGTTAAACTGTGTATGTGCCTAAAAGTCAAGTATGTATTTAGTATGTATGAATTATAGTGTCACTGACTTCATCTCATTGTGTGTGTGTGTGTGTGTGTGTGTGTGTGTGTATATGTATACATACATGAGAACTAGAGTTTTTTGTTTTTTCATTGGCCTTGCCTGAAGTTGTTCACTGCAACTTGGCAAGTGAAATGGTCTCAAATGTAGTCAGTATCTCTCACTATAAGAATATTATGAGATAATATTCTAATAGATTTTTTACTTGTAATTTAAAAAGTAAAAGTCATTTTATCTGGTGAAAGTCTCTTACTCCACATAATGGCAGACAATTTTGCTTGTTTTACGTGTTATCATGATATATTATATTCTTATCTGCATTATTTCTTGAAAACAAGAATTATTATCTGCCAATGGAATAAGACACTTTCACTAGTGAAACATGGAAAAAAGAATTTTTGAACCATTCTGAATTTTTCAAACCATGCTGTTCACTTCCCACTCCATGGACTGCACAAACAGTCTATTTTGAATTCACTGTTTTTATGATGCCACAAAAAATTAGCCCAGTCTTAGCTCAGTCTTTAATGCACAGTAAGGTTGGAAAGTGATCATGTGAAGGTGACTTATGACTTTTTGGTGCATACCATCTTACAGTGTTCTTTAAAATTATATGAAATATTAGAGATATTGACTACATTTAAGATGCCAGGTTTTTTTGCAGTGTATGTGTTAATGTGTGAGATGTTTTGAGTATTTTTCTTGCTGTAAAGCTACATCCACATGAACTTTCCTGTTAGAAATAAAAGACATTTGTGCTAAGTTTAGTGATTCTCCCATTGTATTCAGTCATGAGATCCTGCATTCCAAACCATGTGAATGTAGCTTACTGATGAGTTTCTGAGTGTGTCCATATGTGTGTGTATGTGTGTGTGTGCAAATGTGGGACCATGAGTGAGTATGAGTCTGTGTACAACTGGAATTGTGTGTGTGTGTGTGTGTAAGCAATAGTGGTGTGAAATTGGGGGGGTGGGTTGGTTGCAGGTTGGGGAGGGGGGGGGGATTGCTAGGTAGCATTAAGTTCCATAGACATCACTGTAGTGAGGCTGACAATGACCAGTTAGGCACCTGGCTTACTGCATTGTTGCTGCCATCACCACAGAGAAAAAATGAGATTTAAAACAACACACTTGATTGCTGACCTCGCATTTAACTGCTACTACAACAACTAACACAATAGTCTTGCAGGGCCAGTTGTGATCTCATAAAGACAACGTCTGGGGGACAACCATGAGAAATTTTGGGCGAAATGTGGGTGGGAACATAGACTTATTAGGGTTGGAACAAACTGAGTGTGAAATTTCTAAACCAGTCCAACACCTCATGTAGGCTGAACTCAAAGTAGGGGGCAATAGGGTGCTCATCAACATTGTCCAAGGGACAGCAAGCCTGTCATTAGCCCATGGATGTAACACAAGTTGGCATGGCTAGAAAGGCCTCCCATAAAAAAAAAAAAAAATCAGGTCAATGAGTGTTACATGTACAAAGAACACGTTACATATGGTAAAATTAAATTTACATCTTTCAAGACAAAAGACTTCCTTAGCTAACAGTAGTGTTTCACTATCTAGCTTGTTGTTCTTGTGCTATTCATTACTTCAGACATTAAAAGGTCAAAGACTAGAGGAATTTGGGTTGGGTTTTAGAGGAGATGCGCCCTTGTTTGTTCCCAGATGTGTTTTCTCGTTACGAGATCATGTGTGGCCCAGTGAGACTGCAGAGGGAATAGCATGGTGGGTGGAGGCTAATTGGCTAAGCCCAATCCTACTATTTGCTGCACTATGCAAAGATGTGTAGAGTGAATGGTTGAAGACTGCAGTTTCTGCATCATTCTTTTTTTGCAGTACTGAACTTTGTTTTCTTTACCATGGTCAACTTGTACTTCTTACCTAGTTCACCAGCTAGGTGTTGGCATTGGAAAAAAGTGTAATTCCATGCCTTACTTCACAGCATTATTGCAACATTACATAACCAATAGCGGCATGCAGCCATGTAAACATTGCCCAAATGCAGAAGATTTGCGTTGTTAAAAGAAGAGCTTTGGTGGTCACTTTTATTTGTTTAACGTTGAACATAGACTGCAAAAACAGCTCTGCAGCTTTGGATTCATTGTGTATTATAAAAGTTCAAGATAAATTACAGTTCATGTCATTTCTATTGGCATTGGAGGGTTTTTTTCTTTTGAGCTGTCAGAAATATGTGGCTTATGTGTGAGGTGGCCTAGGCTCCCCCAGCCCCCCCTCTCCTGTCCTTGGTGTGTGCAAATCTGGGACTGTGTGTGTGTGTGTGTGTGTGCGTGTGTGTGTGTGTGTGTGTGTGTGCAAATGTGGGACCATGCATGTGTGTGTCCTTCTAAGCTGAGTAGTGTTAATAGGCAGCTCGGACTGAACCTTTCACTTCCTGCTTTGCATAACTCTAACAGCTGATTGGCTCCTAACGCCTCAGTATACAATACCCCCCACCCTATCTCTGCCCTGCTGCCGGCTATGGAAGGAACACACAATCATCTATAAACAACTGAAATAATGAGGGATGAAATGCACTAAACCACAGATAAACGAATGAAGGACGGAGGGAGAGTACTGAACATCCTGTAGAGGAGTGAAGCACAAGAGAAAAGCACTAGAACATCGAAACGAATGAAGAATGAAAGGAGAAAAAAAGGATGATTGTTGAAGCCAAGCAGCCTTCTACTTTTTGTTTATCTTTTTTCTATGTCGTCAGTGTTACAGTAGAAGACCTGTATTATGATATTCGATTCAGATGCTAAAAATGTGTTTTATACTTTTAAGGTTTTAGAGACGTTGATGGTTGCCAAATATTGTGTTACCTTGCTGCGTAAATGCTGTACTGTTTGTATGTAATTTTATTTTTAACAGTGTTTATTTTATTTCTCGCTCTCTGCGTTGTTCCAGATTCTTTCTTTAGCGCTCAAAGCCTATTGCGTTTCTGAAAGCATTGTGTGTGCGAAGCACTAGCTATGATAGAAAATAAAAGAAGATGCTGTTTTATCTTTGACTGGTCATGTTTTTTTTTTCATGTGAATGCCAGAGGTGTACATGAATCCATTTGCACATCATATTTTCACTTTTTATTTTTAAATCTATATATAATCTATATATATTAGACACTGGTCACATTAGGGACGTGTATGGACACTTGAGTACTCGGTTAACGATTCGAGGTGCCAGTATTCAAGTGCTGAAATCAATATTCATATATCTGTGTTTCATTGAGGGAAGAGAAATTATACAGGACAACAATTCAGTGAAACACGACAGTTTTGTTATTCAGTATGTTACACTTTGCTACTCTGAAACAGGAGTGCCTGAATGTGAGCGCGTGGCTGAGACATGGCTGAGAAGGCAGAGATAGCTCAGCTATATCACTAACTAGGCTATCTACTCGAGCTGATGTTAGCCAGGTTAAGAAACAATGAAAATACACAGTTGTATGCAAAAGTTTTGGTGCCCCTAGTCAAATTACAAGTATAAATATATACACATGTAAGTATAAATAAATACACATCCCGTGTGTGTATATTTTAAAACATAAAATATGGCCTGTTCAAAAATTATGGCAAATTTTATATTCCATACGTTATTTTTTCCCAATATGTAAAAAAAAAAAAATAGAAGTTGTGCACTAAAACTTACAGAGCATGTGTTAACTTTTTTTCACTTAGAAGATCAACATAACTGTATTTCTCTGACAGATAACATGTTGACAGGTTGTCCTCTGAGGAGATTAAAAGACAATGAGTCCTCTGGTTAGCTCTGTTAGCTCATTAGCTCATCTGAAGATGCAATCTTTCTTACTGATCCTACATGAAAACCTACTCATTTCCACCAGCTGTTTTTAAATAATAAAAGGTTTTCAGGTACACTGTGTGCTCTGTGTGCTGCTACATTTTTGTGCAACACCAGCGCTGTCACCTAAAAAGGTAAGTCTACAACCATACATTTTGTCCAACGTTCTTTTTTGTACTTTTTTCTTTTTTCCTGTTGTTTATTCTTCACTATGTTTAACCAGATATCCGTTCATGAACTCTCAAGGACAAAACACATTTTGAATGTATTATTTAATACATTTAAGGAGCAAAGTTATGCAACATGTGAATCACCCATGAGGCTCAAGCCGCAAATTAACCAATATTATTCATTCATTTTGGAATTTTGCCTAGTTTTCCCCCTAAATTTGTCATGTCCAGTTCCCCCTCATCTTCCTCTAAGACATGTGAAGCCCACCATTGCTGTTAACATAGAGTCGTTGGACAGTTCAGTGTGCTTGGAGGAGAATGTTAACTGCCAGTACTCTTACATCAACGTATTGGCTAGCTTTGCGTTGAGTGATGAGGTGAAGGCTATTCTACCCACTCAGAGAGTGGGAGGCCCATTATGCTCTCTTGGACTCCCAGGTACTGATGGCTGTGGCATCACCAGGAATCAAATTTGAATACAACCAGGCTTGAACGCAGCCATTGCTGAGTGCAAACTTCAGTCATATTGAAGTTTATGGAGTGATGTAGTTGCCACAGAGTTTTTACAAGCATTACAAAGCCATTTTACAAGGGTTACAAAGCCATTTCTAAATTTCTAGGCCATCACCAAACACAGTGAGAGCCATTATCTAAAATAAAAATAAAAAGCATCTTGTCTATTACCAAGGAGGTAATGTTCTATAGACAGACCAGCCTGAAGTGAAATTTTCTGGTCAACACAGGTTCTTGTATATTTGCCCTAAAGCAAGTTCTGCATTTCACTATAAATTCTATTCCATGTCTGAATTCTTAAGGAGAGTGTCTGTTCATCTGAGCATGAGCTGAACCTAAAACATAATCAGAAAGACAATGGGCCTCACTCACCAACCGTTCTTAAAAAGAAATTTCTTCTTAAAACCCGCTTATGCAGTTTTCATGAAGATTCTGACATTAACCAGTGTTTTCTTATTTGGGATTTTTTAGGTAAGGACAGAATCTAAACACACTCAAGAGCACAAGGGTGTGAACAATTCTGTGGTTTAAGAACACATAATGAATCAGACGTAGACTTTTTCTTAAGACTTTTCTCAAGAACAAATTGAAAAAAAAAAAACAGGTAGAAATCAGGCCCACAGATCTTAACAGAAAAGCAGTTCTACATCTGAATGTCTGAAAAGAAACATAATTAATGCTTTGGAGTGGCCTTGTCCAAATTCTGACTTGTGGCTGCGGCAGGGCCTTAAACAAGCAGTTTGTGCTTGAAAAGCAACCAGTATATCTGAATTAAAGCATTTCTACAAAGAAGAGTGGGCTCAAATTTCTTCACAACAATCTGAAAGGCTGATGTCAAATTACAGGAAATGTTTGTTGCAGTTCTTGCTGCAAAAGGTCATGAAACATGTTAGAAATCTTTGCTCTTTAAATAAATAATGGTTGATTTTAAGATGTGTTTTGTGTTTGATAATGTTTTCTTTGTCTAATGTTACTTTTTATGCTGGAACTGAACTGAAACTTTTTCACCTCCCCACAGGGAGCATGACATGCGTGACGAGTCCACAACAGGTTTTTCAATTTGAATCAAGAAAAAGGGCCACCTTCTGTGTTTTTACTAAAAATATACTACATCTAAGATACTAAGATGTTGTGCATCCAAGATGTGCCTTCCACAATTATTGGCACCCATGGCGATGATGAAATGGTGAGACGGAAAAAAAAGTGTCTTTGTTATTTATTGGCTTGATCCTACACTGAACATATGAGAGAAGTCTGACCTTTGCGTGAAGTAA